CATGACGATAACTGGGTTTCTTTTAAATTTATGTGTGCATATGCTCTATAAACGCAATCAACTACGAACTAACACCTTGAAGTAAAGAGGAAATGATAATGATAATGATGGTTACATATATTTACCTGCAGTGTTGAACTGATGAGATGCCAGTCCCAGTTTCTGAAATCTCTTTCCATCAAAACCTGATTATTTATGTTAATTCACTTTACATTCATTATTGCAATTACGAAGATCATTGGCGGAAAGAGATGAATCAAAGAGAAAAACAATTCTGTCCATTTTTTTCCCCTACAAACGATGTACAAAAGATAACTTTTATTTATTTGTGTAATTAATTACCATGTTAGAATAGGCTGGCTAAGTTTACCCTTAAACCTGGTTTAAAATGGGGCCTTGCATAAACAATTACAATGCCAAACCACAACACCAGGAGCTACGCTACCTACTCTTTGCTGTTAGTCAGAACAGATAGGATGCACTAGGAGACGGGGCCCTATGAACAGATAGGATGCACTAGGAGACGGGGCCCTACGAACAGATAGGATGCACTAGGTAGGGTTCGTACACTTTTTCAGGCCAAAGATTCAAGGACTTTTCAAGGACTTTCCAGGACCCTACTTAATAGAAATTTCAAGGACTTCTTGTAATGACAATTTTATCTCAAAACCAAGAAAAATGTTTCTGTTGACATCTATGTTTTGGGTTTAACGATGGTGCAAAACAAAAGCAGATATGTTTCGATGCTGTTCAATAAAAAATCAAGGACTTTCAAGGACCCAAAACGAAATTCAAGTACTTTCAAGGCCTTGAAATTGGCCTCCTGAAATTCAAGGGTTTTCAAGGGTTTTCAAGACGCGTACGAACCCTGACTGGGAGACAGGGCCTACGGTTTATCATCCTTATCCGAGGATACTAGAAAGTTTAACTATAAACGAATGACGTAGAAAAGCATTTCATTCTCTTCACTTATCTCAAGACCTTTAATATTAGTCCGGTCTGGGGCTCAAACCCTCGACCTCTTGCAAGGCAGTCCGGCGCTTTCCAACATGATTTAACTAAGCAGTTCACAGATGAATTATATATGGTGCCATTAACTTCCATATGAAGGCTGATAATTGTTCAGATTACCTGTGTGTCTCGCAGGGACGAGAATAGTGGATCATCAAGCTCCTGCCAAAAAAAAAAAAAATGATGAAACAACTAAACTGGTTGGAAGTTTTAATCGAAGGGGAGTGACTACATTTTGATGATAAGCTCATAGACAACTACTACTACAACGAGTTAATAGACAGTTTTGGTACAAACGTTATTCAATCCCATCACATCTCAGACTTTAGATGAACACATGAGCAAATGGATTTCAGAGGAAGCTTGAAATTTTCTTCACATACTTTCTACCTTAAGATGCTAGAGATGTATTCTTGAAAAAACGCACCCAACGGAATTAATAACAGTTTTATATCAAACGTAGCAAATCGAATTAATAACAGCAAAACTTACTTTGTTTAAACAAGCCTTCAGCCTGTCTCTGTGCAGTTTGTCTTTAACTTTGGGCTCCAGAGTGTGAGCCTGTGAACAAAGATAAAACCAATTACTGCCGCCTTGCAAGAGTTAGTAAAAGGCTCTCAAAAGGACCATAATCTGGATCCTCTGATTAGAAACTTTTAGTCCAGTTTCTGACAACTCATCGAAAAATTGGATCTGAATGTCCACATTTTTTTTTTTTTTTTCAACATTAAAGAAGAGATGCTTTTCCTTGGCAAGTAGCACCTATTTATCTGGGCCCAGAATGATCCAATCATTCTGGTGAGGGCAAGATGTAAGATATCGTTTTCCCTCGTGATTAAAGATGTCTGTTTTGGGTTAAAGGTAACAAAAAGAATTCTATTTCAGTTGTCACAGGGTTTATTTACTAACAAAGGTTTACCTTGTACTCGCCTTAATTTGTTACTACAAGAAGTAATTGCAGTTTCCTGTGTCACTTAAAAATAGCCTATCAGATCCTAGGAAACTAACAATGATTTTAACCAAATTTAAATTCATTCAGGATCAAAGCAAGCACAGACGACAAAGCATTTGGGAGAGATTCAGGATGCTCAGTTTTAGGTAAAGGCTGTTGTGTCGACTGACGCGTTGGCCGACACGTTTGTTGATCTTACCAACGCGTAGGTAGTGTGTCGATGGTGTGTCAGTAGTGTGTCGGGACTGTGTCGGTGGAGCGTCGGTAGTATGTCGGGAGCGTGTGGGAGGTGTGTCGGGAGCGTGTGGGAGGTGTGTCGGTAGTGCGTCGACCGACGCGTTGCCGACGCGTTGGTGGGATGGGATTCTTTAATTTAACCCAGTTTTAGTAACGTTGCCTCAGTACTGGTGGACGCAGCATAAGTACCTTAGAAACAATACGGCTCAGATAAAGGCTACACGGAACAAGGCCTCTTTTCTTGGTCTGATGAAGACGATCCAAGCAATTCACTGCTATACTAGCACGGCTGAAATAAAATAAATTATTGACTATTAACCCATTGGCTTGAAGAACTGAAAAAAAAAAAAAACCCGATTTTTATTGAAACAATTATTACCAATACATTCCCGATGCCAAATCTAACAAAAAGAAAATATTTTATCGATACTGTCATGATGCGATGTTAGATTCGCGTATGTGTAACATTTTAAAAGAGGCCATCAGCAAGGGGAATTTTAAAAGCATTCAGATTTCTGGACTGATGCGTAAGCGGCCTAAAACAGACAAATCTTTGACAGCTGGGTGCAGGCACGCATGAAGAGGACTTAAAGTATTTTTGGCATACCTCAGACTAGTACAATAACCATTCTTGGTCTCACGTTTCAGCCGAACTGCAAATTCAGTACTCACCTAAAAGAAAAGTTAGGTAAAGCTAATAAAGGGTTATACGTTATCAGATGCCTCCGCAAGGAAGGATGTAGCCAAGCAGAAGTAGATGTTTTATTTAATTCCATTGTCCTACCTAATATCACTTATGCTCTATCTGTGCATGGGGCCTCTGAGTCAGAGCTAACTATAGCCCAGCAGTTTTTAGATCGTTGTTTTAAACGTAAATACATATCTAAGAAATTAGTGATAGGTGACTTACTTAAAACGCAAGATCACAAAATTTGTCGCAAGGTTTCAACTATCCTGAGCCATCCTCTTAGAGCCTACTTCCCTGAGACCAAGATCACGAGGTATAATTTGAGAAATAAATCCCCTGTCATGCCCGCTATTCGCACAAACCGTTTTAAGAATACATTTTTTAATAGAATTGTTTTTAAGTATAATGTAGCTTTGTGAAAATGTACTTCCTGTATTAGATGTAACATAAGATATGTAATTTTATCTTTTGAACAATAAAGACACACAGACACACAGACTAAGTAACAACTGCCTGCCAAATTTGCCGCATGAAAAAAGTACTGATGGCCGCCTGAATTTTTGGCTAGTGATCGCTTGGTGAAGCAAAACTGGCACTGGGGTTATAAAGTTACAATCATTTGATAACCAATGCTATCTCTAAAACCGCCTCACTTCAGATTTCAGCAAACAGCCTTATATCTTAGCCATATATTCAAAAAAGGCACGAAAGACTCACTTAGACGCTTTTTTGTAGAAAAAGAAAAGTTGAATTATAAATATGAGGTTTGAAAAGGGAATTTATTTACCAAATGAAGCAGCTCGCCAAGTAGAATAGTGGCTCTGACTGAGAGGAATGGATCCGATGATGTTATAACTTCAACAAGACTCTGTAATGGAGGAAATCACGTACAAGTTACAATGTAGTTACTGATGTGTTTTTACGATTCATATTTTAATTTATCATAAAGCACAAACAGTTTGTGCCTCTTTCTTAAGCTACATGCACTTCCAAGTTGAAGCACTTTAACAGAATATTGAGGACCAAAATCAGAGTTACAGAGAACAAACGAAAAAAAAGCCAAAAAGGTCAAAGACAACTAGAAATGAAAAATTGGAATGACAATTATAATAATAATACTGCTAATGATAACTATAATAATAAAACAATAACATTCTGGGCCATAAATCTAAGCAGAAAAAAAAAAAAACCTGATTTGTATACTAACTAACAGAATAGTCCTCAAACTGGATGAGCAAGAAGTATTATTGACTGAAAAAAGAGTTGAAGTTTTTGCAAACAATAACAATACGGTAAACCGAAAAAAAGATGAGTAATTAAGGATTACTTTCAACACACACTAGTTTGAAAATCACAGACTTGTAATTATCTAGAATAAAACAAAATTAAAAAAATGGACATCAACTGTCTTTCAACCTGTGAGTATAAGAGATAACTAAAAACAAATTTGAAATACCTCAAATAATCCAGCATTCATGAAAGCGGCTAACACTAGGGCTATGTAATTCTTCACAAGGTTTGTTCTGTCAAACAAACAACAGATTTGAATCCTAATGATTATTCATTCTTGTTAGCATTTTTCTTAGAACCACTCAAACACGAAGCCTATGAACACCAGAAAAACTAAAAAAGTCCTTTTACCTTCCAGTTGCCCTGTGGGGCAGAAGTGCCTTTGCTTCTTCTGCCACAAACCCCTCAGATAATTTCCAGGCATCCTGCATTTGACAAGGATCTGAAGAAATAAAGCATCGAGACTTGTACAAATCACTTTTGATCCTGACCCTCATGCAATTGGCAATGTTTGTACATGTGTACATGTACTACCAAGTGCTACTTGTCAAGTGCTTGTCGCATAAGGATTATGCCCTCTGGGACTTAAAACTGTTTTAAAAACTCAAACTGAAATCAAGTAAGTTGACTAAAATTTATAAACCTTACCAACACTTAGAAGAGCAATACTAAAGTCATCTGTCCAATCAGGCTCCTTGAGCTGAAATATCTCAAATACAATGTCCATGATGCCCTTCTGTTGGCAAAGGAAAAGAAAAAAATTTAAGATCCAAACGTACAGCTAGCTGCATAGTAAACCATAAGTCACACCCAGCAACTAGCAATTGGTAGGGTTCTCAGTAGAAGCCAGCAACCGGCGAATTCCGCCGCCTGTCAAGATGAAAGTAGCTGCCTGTACTGGCAATGAAAATAATTTGCCTTTGTGTGCCAAATTTCTTCAATAAAGTATAAAGGGGTATTCAAGAAGTATTCTTGAATTTTCTGCTTAGGAACCCACTAACACGCTTTCATTCTTTAGTAACCGGAGTGCCACTGTCGCAAATTATTCTACGGTTGTTACGGTTGACCCTTGTGGCCTTTATCACCTTTATCAATCGCATCAACGTGTCAGTCATGAAATGCCCATGTTTGAATAAACCACAGCGAATTTGTGCACGCTGACAAGCTATATTTTTCATTGCAAACGGAAGAAGTCCTTGGCCCTTTGTGGTTATTATAATTGTATTAAGCTGATGCAGTGATTATTACAAGAACAATATAACTAATTTCACAGGTGACATACATTTCTTGTCAATGTAAATCAATATTTACAAAGTACAACTAGTAAAGTTCGTTTTATGCATGTGTTTGAGGCTTAAATACAAAAGTCGGTGCCCCAAAATGCAGAAACCGTATCTCTGGAAACATAGAATTTCAAAATTTTCCAGGGGGGCATGCCCCTGGATCCCTCTAGAAGCCTGGCCCCCCCCCAGGCCTCGCCTCAGCCCTCTGGGCTGAAGTTTAGCCACCTGTAATTACTTCTTGGCAGTCTGACTAAAAAACTACTGAGAACCCTGACTTGGTAAGCCCCCCCTCCCCCCAAGAAGGTAAAACAACAAAGGTCAAGGAGTTGTTAAATGCTTGTGACTTAAATGGATATTCTAAAATTAGGTTTCCAAGTAAGAACTGGAACTGAGTAATTTATTTTTCCGTATATAATGATGTAATTGGCAATAATGGTTCCAGTCCTTACTTGGAAACCTGATTTTTGAGTATTCTGCCACTTAAGTCACAACTGTTGTTAAATATCAAAACTATTGCGTAAGAAAAGGAGAACTTCCTGATCTGTGCTCAGTAAAATCTTACCCTAACATCAGAATTTGGCAAACAAAACACACCCAGCAAGGACTGAACTCCTTTACCATCAGGACGGCAAAGGCTAATCACACCTGTAGGCACCAAAAAGAATACAAAAATAAATAAATAAATAAACAAATGATGCAAATAGAGAAAGATATGGATTAGGGAATTAATGGTTAATCCAAAACCAAAGTCTTCAAACTAACATTATAAGAATTGCATTGCAAACAGGAACTTGAGGAGAATTACTATTAGTACTGATAAACTAAAAAAAAAAAATTAAGTGAATTAGAAATCAGTCTTATAGCCTGATGATTATCAACAGTTGTTAAATAATATGTTCACTTTTCCTTGCATCATAAATGCATTTAAGAAATGAGAATTAAGATCATTATCAACTGTGGGATACTGACCTGACCAGGATCTAAAAATAGTAACAATGGCCATTTTACTGGCTTGCAAACGGCTTGCCCTGTCCTCCCTACAGTTAATTAGCAAAAAAAATAAAATGAAGCATGATTGAACAAAAACAAATTGAAATAATTCTCAACTCAAATATGCATGTATATGTTGTAGTTCAATTTTATGCTTGGTTCAAAATTTATTTTCCTTAATTTGTTCTCCAAGTCATGTTAATGTATGATAATGAGTTTGAAACAAAGGAAAATAAAATTTTGAACCAAGGATAAAATTGAACTACAACACATATACCAGAAACATGTTTTGGAGATCAGTATCTGGGCCACTGCACACTCACCCCTCTCCTAACCCAACAACGGTCAACTGATAGCAAGGCGGGGTTAATTTTGGGTTAGGGGAGGGGTGGGTGCTCATTTTATTAGGTACTTAATATATTAATCCCATGTCTACATCTTAAAACCCTAAAAGAGCTTCAACTTCGTTTAGCCAGTCCCAAAACAGAACATACTGTAGCTCCCAATCAACAGCTGGAAAATCCCAACAAACCAGCAAAGAGCCTACACGCCTGGTGCTTGTCCATCCTAGTTAGATTGGATTTTGAAGGGAAATACCGAAGGGAAAACAGAGGGACAGGAAGCGCACTTGAAAGCAAATGTTAAAACTGCTGAAGACCGCTAGGAGACAACTGTTAACAAACTGGGCAAGAACTCAAGGATCCAGTTGTAAGAGCACTGCAACAGTCTACACAAGACTGTACTATTGAGACTGACTGCTGACGAAAACAACCCAAAAAGCTTCTAGCAACTAACTTAATATAGTTATTGTTAATCTGGTGAGACATAAATTTACCTCAAATGTGTTTCTGGTGTGTCAGGATTGTGCCTATAGTGCAAGTCAGTGAATGGAGCTAAAACAGACTGCATAAAGAAAAAGTGTTGTCTTAGGAAATAATACAAAAAAAAAAAAAAAAATCAAATAACTCAAAACAAAAACATACATACACTGTATGGTCATAAGTAAAATAATTGATAAACTTTATGTACCTCTAATCCGACATCTGAACGGACGTACAGCCGTGATTCTGGATTGTTCAACAAGTATAATAAAGTGGCCATTAAAGATTCATTGAATCTTTGCATCTAAAAAGAAAAATTCCCCATCAGAGCTGCACATTGTTCGCAATTAAGTTTGTACTTTGAGCCAAGTGACCCACCCGTCTGAACCTTATTCCACTTTCCTTAGCATGTACATGTAGTGACTAAGAGTATCACTTCTCCCCCCTGGATGGAATACTAGTCAGTCAAGTTTTCAGGGAAGCCTGATGAAATTCTGGGGGTCTAACCTTGCTATGTACTGCCATCCTATTCAAGGGGGAGCAGTAATACTCCTAGTTGCTTCATGACTTGGAAACTGGGATAAAAACTCCTGCTAAAATGGCCACTTAGCTTGAGTGTAAACTTCACCTATTTTACCACTACTAATTGAAAGTAGAAAATGACTATCTAAAGAAACTTGTCTGTGTTATGGTGTTAGAGAATTGAATCAGTTAAGTGTTAATGGAGCAGGTTTCCAGATGAAGATATGCAATTCCCATAGTGGAGATATAAGAGGTATATGTAGCATGGGTTCCTGTTTTGAAGAGTAGTTTTTTTTTTTTTTTTAAGTGACATTGAAAGTCTCTTTCAGTTGGCCGTTTTAGTCCATCGGTGATTTCTTTGCATATGGACACAACAGCCTGAAGGTTTACTGTCTCATCAAATAAAAAGCAATGCAACCATACCTGCGAATCCAGTACATTTCTTATGATAGTATTGATTCCACCACAGTATGATGCTGTCTGAATACTTTTTATAGCTGTAAAAGGAAATGAAAAGCTAATTACAACCTATACATGGTTGACAATGTATTTGACAATGTACATGTGTATCCTCACCATTCCATGTCCAATGTAACATGAACTGACAACATTGCACCTTCAGGGCTTGAAACTAACTTTTAAACTTACCAGCCAAGTAGTTCTCTATTGATACTCATGTTGCACAATGCTCTAATTTGCTTTTGGTTATTAACTTAAAAGAAGAAAAAAAATTATGTCAAAGAGTTTTTACTGTTACTTACCAAGTTCACAGAGGGTGGCAACACAAGCTTTGCGTAACCTGTCAGCATCATCGCCTTCATCATTGCCAATTGACACAAGAGTTGCTGCCATAGACATAGGACACAGATGAGGACTAACAGCAATTATCTGGCAAAGAACAAACGTAAAGTCCTGAACTGTTATTGACGATGAAAAAGGTAAGGTCTACTTTTGAGCATAACGGCCCATACTGCGTGAGTTAGGTTTTCCCGATTTCCATAGCAAGGAGAAACTAGGTGTACGTTATAACACCCCTGCCCCTCCTGGGATGGGATACCAGTCCATCACAGGTTATTCCGACCCACCATTTTCTCAGGCCTCAGTAACAGTCCACTTTTATATGTACCAGTACCCTTTAATACTCCAACGGTTCAGAAAGGCACTGGGAAACTTTGGCTTCTTGTTAAGACCATAACACAAACAATACATGCAACACCGTATAATTATAATGACAAAAAAGGTTGGCAGCTGTTAACTGTAAGCTGTAAGAATCGTTACAAAACCTTTCGAATGAATCTCAATGCTTGCACACGTTCCACCTCAAAGGCATTGTGAACCATGTCCATTGACCTTGAAAAAGGGAAAAAAATAAATTAAAAGAACACATTCAAGTAAGTTGAAATTACTGATAATAATTAAAGTCTCTCCTTTGTTTTCCACTTTGATTATCTAAACTTATAACATGAAATTTATGACATTGACAAAGATATGTGGAAACACTTTATTTTTGCTATCATTATCATGGTAATGAAGGCATTTAGTTCATCTACAGCCACTTGGAGATAAGCAGTGCTTTGCTAACCTCTGAGAATCTAAGCCAATCAGCATGTGGCAAAAGCAATATTTGCTCCATTGGTACATGAATGTCTATAATAATCCACCTTTTACATTTTACAATTTGCCAAAGTCCCAATATAAGGTAGATGTTACCTGACAATGAAGATGTCAATCCTAAATTCAAGTATTTTAGAAAGAGTTTTTTCATCATAAAATAGATGACGAAATGCTCGCAGTCCTGCTGCTCTGAGTTCTTTTGCTGCTGAAACTAGTGGAAGCATTAAGCTGAGGACAAGAGAATGAAAAAGATATGAAATAAAGTTACTGAATACCTTCAAACTGGAGACCTCATCTATCAAGCAAGGTTGAATTTCTAGGCTTTTGCATGATAGTGTTAAATATGGTATTGATTTATAGACGAATGCAGACACACTCTTATTTTGCTTGCATTTTTCATAATCTTTTCTGTGTCTTTTGTATGCTTCGCACTTTTAGCATTTCTAGTGTAGTGAACTCTCCATAAGTCAAAACAGTCAGTCTGAGTGTTTAAAAGATACAAAAAATATATTTTTTACTAAAAACATACCATTTAATGATATCTTCCAGAGAGTAACCAAAGTTGGCATTCTCACCAACACTTTGAATTAACTATACAAAAAAAAAGAATGACACATGATTGTAACCGAAAAGCTCACTGATTTCAAATTTTTCGGATAGATCATTCCCGGTTGCAGCTCCAGCACTTTGGAATGCATTACCGCGTGAGATTCATTCTATTACAGATCTAGGGATTTCTAAGTGCCACCTGAAAATGCACCTCTTTAAGGAAGTTTTTTATTAATTTTTATTAAAAATTTTATCATGATAGTTGCTAGTATCTTAACATAATTTATGTTGTATGCTTCAATTTTATCATAGTATATTTTTAATAATTATTATTGAGATGTAATGCACACTTGATCATTTCATGGAAAGTGCACAATATAAGAATTAAATTATTATTATATAATTATCATTATCATTAACTGCACCATGAATAACAGGCCTTTTCTTGCTGCTAAGAAATTAATTCTTATGCACTGAAACACTATTTTCCAAATTACCACCTTATTCTCGTTCACATCATAGCTAGGCTAAACATGTTTTCAAGCTATTTTTTTATAACTTAACAAATAAACAATCATTTTTTAGTGTAATCTGTACTCTTATTGACAATGATATACATCACCACAGTGGTCACTGCGTGATCTGTTAAGAGACACATTGACCGAAGCAGCGTTGCCTGTACCCTTATCAACAGTGGCAAATCGGCCAATCAGATTGTGGTATTACTGCCAATTGTGATAAAAATATTTTAAGTTGTGGTGACTTCAAAGAAGCTGATAAATTGCTTAAACACACAAATTCGACTTCAAATTTAGGCTTTAAAGTTAGTGAAGACTTTAAACCTATGATAGAAAATTGAGTTTTTTTCTTTTTTTGCAGTTTGTTGTTTCTAATTTTCATTCATCTAAACTTGGCCTATCGAAATATATTTTATTGGTGTTTAACCCTAAGATTGGTAAGCATATTCTCCATACTTTTCTCAATACATTTTCATGGGTATACTGACACTGAAAATCTGTTCAACAATTAGGAGCTCCTCTGGTGGGTAATCATTTCCTAAATAATCTCGTTACCTTTATGTTTGATTCAACAGTGATACTTTAAGGAGAAATAGAAAGCCAATCACAATGGTGGGTTAAATGGGTTAAGATGTAAAAGTCAGGCAGTAAACTTGAGGTAGAATCTACCTACTAGAGAAATGAGGAAAGCACTTTTTTTTTTTGTTGCTTTAAAAATATTTCATGTTCTTTTAATTTTTAATGTTGATTTGAATAACCTTTATTTTTAAGAGGATGACACAAATTGCTTTTAAAAGTATTCTCCCTAGTGGGGAGAATACTTTCAAAAGTAAAACACCCACCCATCCCCCCCCCCCCCC